ACGGCCCATTGGTGTTGCAGCCGGGAAAGGGGGGCGCGTTGGAGGGGCGAGAGAGGCTGCGTGGAGACGTGGATGGCGATGGGCGTGAGAGGATCCAGCCGAAGCCCACCTGCCCGGGGCGAGGAGAGAGAGGAGAGAGGCCCTGAGGCTGGCTTCCAGCTAATGCAGCCCTCAAAGGACTTGAGCCTCTGCTTTCTGCAGAAATAAGGCTCTCAACTTCAAACCTTGCTGGGGAAAGCAATGTGTAAGTGTCCTCTGCGCTGCTGGGAGAAGGTGCTGTGGGGCTGGAGGGGTGGTGGGCTGTGGGAAGGGACAGCCCTGTGGGGCTGCAGGCCCTTAGCGAAACCCTGCCCGGGGCTGGGGAGCCTTCACTGCTGCCTGTGGTGGCTGCGTGGGAAGGCTGTATGCGGCCGAGGGCTGTCGGGGCACTTGTAACTGCAAAAACATGTGCTAAAGCCCTTTCAGAGGAGATACGCTTACCCAAGTGGCTTCTCTTGAGGCTGAGGAGTGACAGGGGTGCTCTTTTTTCACCCCCAAAACTGCATGGCAGGGTTGTCGTGCACCTGGTTCAGCATCAGCCAAAGCAAACCCATGTGAAAGCGTCCTGGGATGCTGGTGCGACGGTGCCTGCCTTTGAGCCACTTGATATAAGCGGCCTTGGCAGGCTTGCTGGCAAGGTGGAAACCGAGGCTGACTTTTGGCTTGTGACCATTGTGCATCATTTGAAAGCCTTGCAGTGAAAGTAGGGGAGCTAGAAAACCCAGGGCATGTTTGACTCGGGTTTTAGGCAAGGGATCAAATATCGCTATCAGAGCTCAGATCCTCCACTCCAGCACTAGATTCCAAGCTGCCTAAGACTGTCAGTATTTTGCCTGGTGTCAAGGAGTATTAATAAGTAAAGCCTGGGAAAAGTGCCTTTTAGCACTGAACAAGGAGCTTTGTTAGAATAAGGTGTCCTGGATAAAGTAAGAGACTGGTTGGCTTTGCTGCTGCTCAGGATCCCCCAGTTTGAAGAGCTAGATCGTTGGTCCTAGCATAAAGCGGCCCTGCAGATTTCTGAGAGTGCAGTGCGTAGGAAGATGTACCCTGCAACCTTCATGCGGGAAAGGAGGAGATGGTCTAGATGCAAGGCTTGTCCCCATTAGAAAAGCATTGTGCATGGTGTAAGTGGCCAGAACGATGCTGTAACCGCTGCAGCTGCAGTGGTCAAAGACTATAAGAGAGGCTGGCTTTGTAGAGGAAGGCAGTACCCAGTACCTACTGGTACAGGTAGAAGTACTGGTGAAGCTGCAAGCCCACAGGAGTTTTCTCAGGAGCAGCAAAAGCAAAGTAAGTCAGCTTGGATAAACCTAGTAAAAAGAGATGATTCCTCTCCAGCTCGTTCAGTGGTGTGGGGATCTGTGATATGATGGGGGTCGGCCATGAAGTGGCTGTGCGTGTGCAGGCAGCAGCTGCAACCCTGGCCTTCCACGTGTGTGTGCCATGGCTGCCCTCTCGTGCTGGATGCCCCGTGGAAACTCCGGCTGCGCTTCCCACGAATCTGCAGGCTGCGTGCGTGGTTGCTTGAACCCCTTGCTCCCACCTTCCTTGGCCTTCCCATAGCCCTATGTGCTGCTGGTTTAGGCTACAGCTTGATGAGGTTAGGATTCCTTTATTTTGAAGTCTGCCATTAGCTCTCCTGGTTGCAGAGCAAAGCTTAAAAGAACCAAGCAGAGCCTGATGATCCCAGAGTGGGTCCATGCATTCCTGGCAGGGCTGCGTTTAGCAGGCAAGGAGGGCCGTCTTTGCAGGAGGATATGCTGTACGTTCGTTCCTGATCCTGCACACCAACAGCCCACGCTCAATTGCCTGGAGACAGAGCTGGTTTTGCTGGCGTGTGTTTTTGTGGGAGTTTCTGGGGAGGAGATCTGGACTTCAGTTGTCTTCCTTCTCATTTGAGGAGGCTCAGTAGGAATAGGGTCTGTTGTGCCTGTATTTACATGCTGTGGTGATGGCTACTTGCTGCCTGCTGATGTCTAATTGTCTTAGCTGGTCCATCTTGCTTTGCACCATGCAGTTTAAGGGGACAGTTTGCAGTCATTGTAGATGGGCATCAGATCCCTCACAGAGGTGAAAGCATCTTGTGCAGAGACAAGGAAAAGGAACAACCCCTAGCCTGCCGTGGTCCCTGTTCCCTCTAACCTTTCTGGGTTACAGCAGTGCCCGGGGAGGCAGATGAGGTTGCTATATGCCTGTGCCATCCTCAGAGAGCAATGCGAGAGATGAAATGGCTTGCAGCGTATCCCCACCTTTGCTTGGCTGCAGTATCCAATGAGATTGGTAATACTTCCTTTCTGGCTGTGTGCGGCTGGTGGACCTGTGACTTCTCTGCCCAGCAGCTTGAGGCTCTTGGGTCCCGTCGGTAGGACTGGGGGAGCCCAGGCTGTCTTTGGTAATAGTGAGATCCGAGCAGGGCAAAACTGGCACAGGTGCTTTGGCCAGATATGCCTGCCACTCTGCAAGTTGGTTGCAAGTTGCATCTTGTTCCAGTCTCATCCTTGAACAGTCTTCCATCATCACACGCTCTCGTGTGGCTCTCCTGCAACGTAAACCACCTACGCAGAGGCTAATGAATGAATTTAATGCTTTCAGTCACAAAACTGTATGCTGATCCCTAGGAGATAAGCTTTGGAAGTGCGTATTTTACAACATTAGGGCAGTCTAAATTGTTCGCTGTTGTCTTGTGTGCAAGACAAGGCTTCTTGCTTGGCTTAGGACGGCATCCTTCATTACATGGGGAGAGACACCCGAAAAGGAGCCCCTAGTCCATGCATCCCAATAGGTTTTACAGGTCGTTTCCTGTGCCTTTACCATGAGAAGGGCGTTAATGCATGGGTGTGCGTGCTGTTGGCAGGCAGGCTCTAGGTACGCGGCTCTGTGCCAGTGAACGCAAACGCGTGAGCTGCAGCTTTTGAACCTGCAGTTTCTGTGAGAAAAATTGCTCCCTGAGAAGTCAGCAAGGAGGACTGTGGTTGCTGCAGAGTGAATCCCTCGTAAGACTTAATCCCAGCCTGGGAAAGGACTTTTCCATCCAGTAGAAGTGTTGAATCTGGGGATCAGGGTTGTCCTCTGCTTTGACCCTCAGGTACAGCAGCTTGTCTCTGAATAAGGCAGAATATTTGAGAAGAGAAGAGGGGACTGCTTATAAAACTGATTGTCTCTTTCTTTGACTCGATATTTTTCCTTCTCCCCCCCCTTCTTATTTTTGTGCTTGAAATTTTTTCAGCAAGCCACAGCTCTGACTCCCCTAGAATCCCCAGGGCTCTTAGGATTTAAACTTGTGTCTTCCCATAGTAGTGTGCCATTAGACAGCCTATCACCTTCTGTGGCCATGCAGTGATGGGAATGGGTGGGTTAAGCACTGCCTTTCATGGAGGAGACTGCCTGCAGGCCAGACAGAAGCAAGTTCCCAGCAGCAGCTCTACAGTCCGAACGCTCAGGGACCCAAGTGTTGTTTAGGGGCATGCCCAAAGGGCAGGCCAGGAGCATGGCACTCAGACGTATGGAGAAGGAAGTTTGGTGCATCAGGCACTCCCCTGCAGTTTAGCATCGCAGGTGGAGATGGAGCATTTCTGTTCAGCCCAGGAATTGTGCCTTTTTCTGGCCCAGTTCAGAGTGTGCGTTTCTGAGCTCTGGGCGAGTGACTGAGGTTCGCGCAGTGCTTTTCCGCTTGGCACCCCAGCATTGGTCCTGGAGGGCTTTCTTCAGGGCTTGGCCAAGTCACAAGAGCAGCAGGCCTGAGGAAGCCTGCTGGGTCTTGATGTGGCTGCAAGGATCAGAGCTGATCAGCCGTGTCCTCCTTCTCTTGCAGCGCTATACCTCGGCCATGGTGAAGCTGGGTGCCAGTGTCTCTGAGAAGCCTGAAAAGGAGCAGCACGAAGGTGGTGATGACTTCGATAATGTTCCCTTGATAACCCCGCTGGATGCTGGCCAGCTGCAGCAGCCTTTCCCAGACAAGGTAGGCACAAGCCGTGCCCTGTGGTGGCTAGTGTGCTTCATCAGTGCTAGCTTTGCTTGGCCACAGGGTGGTGGGGTGGCGGCTTCTTCCTTCCAGGTCCTGCTAGACCATGCTGATACAGATGTGCTCAGGTCATGTCTTGCACTGTTCTACAGTCTTATGCAGTACACAGGAACCTCTCGTGGGCTGGCAGGAAAGGGGAAAACAGTTTTTATCTGTTAAAGATCCCTGTTCTCAAGGGAATGTGAATATTGTTTTCCAAGATTCCCTTGGAAATGGATGCCTGTGTGTGCATGCACATTTCTGTATGTATGTGCCTGCCATGTATTTATGTGCTGGTCTATGTCTGCATCTGTATCCTTTTTACTGCATACATTTGCATGTGCGGTGTGCACACTGTGCCTAATTGATGCATGTTTGTGCTTTACGTGTGTCCAGGCATGTGGTACACATCTGTGTGGCACATGTCATGCTTGATTGTGTGCATGTATGCCACATACAGGTGCAGGTGTTTACTGTGCTTGTGTGCGTTTTCTCTGCCTGTTATGTGTGCTCCAGATTTGTGTATGTTGTACACTTGTGTGCATGTGTGTGTTTTGTGTGCAGGTATGTGCCATACATCTGTGTATATGCATGTACTGTGCTTGTAAATATCTTGTGCCATGTCTGCATGCTTGCCTGTGAACCCATGCATATGCTGAGCGTATGTACCCGCGGTGTGCACTTGCAGGTGTATCATGCCTGTGTGTGCAGGTGTGTTATGCCTGTGTGTGTGCATGCTATACTTGTCCTATGTGCATACATGTTAGTGTTGCATTTGCCTGTGCATGTGCTATGTGTTCTTTTGCAGGTGTGTGCATGCCTGTGTATGTGTGCGTGGGATGTGGCATTAGTGAGAGAGGCTTCACTGGTTCCCTAGGGCAAAGCCGAGTCTATGCTGAAGCAATCTGACCTCTCTGCACCACTGAGGCCAGAATCGCCCTGTAGCTCTCTCTGCTCCCAGGTTTGCAGGTATGTGGGGAAGTGCCAGGTGGTTTCTTCAATGCACCCTCAGTGAGGGAGCAGAACTAAGATCTGCAATTTGTTGCTGCTGCAGGCAGCACTGGGGTCTGGTCCTCCCTTCAGAGCAATTCCTTTCTGCTAAGCAGGTTGTTGCTGGTCGGTGTAAGTCAGTGCATGCAAGACAGAGCAGTGCTTCTAGTTGAACCATCTGCAGACTGCTGACGTGGGCTGGGAGCAATGGCCCAGTGCTTGGGAGGGAAGCAGGAGATCCTATGCAGTCAGCATACCCAGACTAGATAGGCTTCATCTCTCCAGTGCCGTGGCCTTATGCCTGACCTGTTCTGTCTAATGTGAAGAGTGGGGGGACACAGCCTGCTTTTTAGTCTCCTTTGTGCAAAGGCCGCAGTCAGTGACCTGCTGTTGTTACCACTGTCCAGATCTCCACAGGCACCTCAGGCTTGCCTGTCACTCTAATAAATTTTCATGGGCAGTCCCTCTTCCTGCAGGTTGCATCTTTTCAACCTCTGCACCATGCAGCCCTGCATGTGGGGTCAGACATACCCCACAGTTTTGGGGGTACAATGAGGATTGCAGGGGGCAGGATCTAGAGCGTGCTAGAGCAGTGCTGGGAACTTGCCACTTGGACCCCCAGGTCCATCCCCAGAGCCTTGTAAGGCTAGGCACATCTGACAAATGCATGCCATTCTAGGGGTCGTTGCTGGGTAACTCCACCCTCTCCTGCCTGGCAGTGATATTGCTCGCTAGTTTCTCACTAGTTTTCCCTTTTTCAGATGATTGTCAAGACCCGGACAGAATATAAGCTCCAGCAGCAGCAGCAGAGGAAGTTGTACATCCCAGGGATTAAAAAGCTGAATGTAAATCTCTATGATGAAGTATCAGAAAAAGTCAAGGTAATTCACCAAAGGTTTTCCCTTGCGCAGGTATGCCTATACACAGCAAGTCTGCTGCTACCTGTGAAGCCGCAGCCCCCTTCCACTAAAGGAGAAGGGCCAGTGTCCCATCAGCACTGGCAGTTACTTGTGGGCGCTGGAAAATAAGCCACTGAGCTGAAATGGGGAAAGGGTCTGTACTGCAAGCCAGGAGAGAGATTTTCCCTCGCACATGCGTGTGTCTTGACAGTCAGGTGGAGTTTTCAGCCCCAGGCTGGGCGGGGAGGGCACTTGCAGCTGCAAGTTGTCCTTGTGAAGAGACGGGGGGCTTACTGGCTCTGCAGGGAGGAGAACATCCTGAGGAGGGGACATAAGACCTGTCAGAAGCAGTGGCACTGGGGCAGAACGTGCCCCCATGACGACAATCTGGGAGGACGGCATTGCCGAGGGAGGTCTTGGGCAGCACCACACTCTGTGCAGGGAAGTCTGCTCTGCCACGTGCCCTTCTTAGCCTGATAGGCTTTTGGTGTGGTTGATCCAGGCAATGCAGTTGTTGGGTCTCCTGGCCAGGGAGACGTGCAAAGCAAGATTTGGCTCTGTTTCCTGCTGCCTTCCAAATGAGCTGATCTGGCTGCACTGGCTCACCCGGCAGCCTCTGCCCTCTTGATAGGGAAGGTGCAGGTGGCAGCCTCCTGTCAGCCCTGCAGCCTGGGTAATTGATAGGACCAATTAGCCCAGAGTCTTCCCTTCCCCACTCATTTTTAATGTCTGTTGCATTTTTACACCCTGATTTGCTCGGAGCAAAGCCCTTTCGGCTCCCCGCCTTGGCTGAACTTCCACCTCTGGAGTTTTTTCCACCTCTTCAGCACATGGCTAATTCTCCCTGTTCTCAGCATCCCTGGGGCATGCGTCCTGTCCCACCCATCCACCCTCCAAGCATGAATAATAGACAAATCGCTTTTGCCAAGGCTGCTGCTTGCTGTGAAATTGCTATCATAGCCAGGCTCAGGCTGGAGGCATTCCCGGATGAGGGTCTCCAGTCTGACCTCAGCTCACAGCAAGGCCAATGCCACAGCTACAGCATGTTGCTCAGGGCCCTGTCCAGGCGAGTATGGGTGGTCTCTGAGGATGGAGATCCCTCATCGCTCTGGGCCCTGACCTAGAGGGCAGCGCTCACATGGGGAAGGACGATTTCCTTATGGCCAGCTGGGATTTCCCAGCTGTTGCGGCTTGTGCTGATGCCTCTGGTGCTTTTGCTGTGCCCCTCTGAGCAGAATCTGGCTGTGTTGTCTCTGTAACCCCTTTGGGCAGTAGAAGGTGCAGTTGGATCCCCCTTCACCTTCTCCTCTCCTGGCTGAACAAGCCCAGTTCCCGCATCCTCTCCTCCTATCCCCTGGCCTCCAGCCCCACCATCGCTGTGGCCCCGCACTGGACTCACTCCAGTTTGTGGATGTCTCCCTTGTAATAGGGACCCAAAACTGGACACAGTATCCAGATGTGGCCTCACTGAGCAGAGCAGAGGGAATAACCCCTTCCCTAAGCTTGCTGGATGTGCTCTTGCTACCCCAGCCCTGGAGGGGTCTGGCCTTCCCTGCTGCCAGGGTGCACTGCTCACTATGCTGTGTTTTGCCTGAGGACCCCACAGCCCTTGTCTGCAGAGCTCCTCCCTCAGTCAGTCCCAAGCCTGTCCCTGTGCATGGGGCTGCCCTGTCCTGGGGCAAGGCTTTGCCTTTCTCCTTGCTGAACTTGGTGGATTTTCCACTGGCCGATTCCCCCCTCTGCCTCTGGCAGAGTCCCCCTGGTTGGCCTCTATAGCCTTTGAGACCTCTTTGTGCCTGTGAACATAGCCCTGTGACTCTCAAGCCGCTCTGGATTGTTGGAGGAACAGCAGCTGTGGCAAAGCAGAAACAGCGAGGAAGATGCAGCTGGGCAGGGGGCTCCAGTGCCTGGCGTCCCTGTGTGGGCTCCTGGCTGGCGGAGCCAGCAGTGACCACTGGTCTCCTGGGATTTCATTTGGGAAAGGCTGACATTTCCTCTGCGTGGTGCGAGCAGATCTGAATTGCCTGCAGCTGCCAGCAGCACCTGGGGCAAGCAGTGAAGCTTGGCTGCAGGTTACAGGCAGGATCCTCCTTTCATTGCTCAGGACAGAGCTAGGGGATCACAAAGCACTTGGGTGAGGGGTTTTGCCAGTATGCAGGCAGTGGAGAAGCCTGGCTGGGGCTTTGCCCCCCTACCTGGGGTAGGCTGAGCCCTCACATTTTGTGGCACAAGAAACAGCTGCTGTGCCGCTTGTATTTCATAGCCCAAGTCATGTTCAAAATGACAGCCTCAGCTTACAAAACTAGCCCAGGCAGGCAGGACAGGCAAAGAGCTCTTTCCAAGGCTGCTGTTTTCCTGATGTTCCCTGGATGTGGCCTGAGCCTAGCACCTTGCAACACATTGCTGGCAGTGGGGAGAGAGGCCAGGTGTAGAAAAAACATTTCTGTCTACTGAGGCAGTATTACTTGTCCCTTTTTTCAGAGACCAGCATGGCAGCCTCCTGTTCATGACCTGTTCCTCTGGAAAGGGAGGCAGCCTCAGAGGACTTCCTCTGCTTTGAATCCCTCTTGCCAAGCCAACACTGAGCTACTGATCAGCATCTGGCCAGGGCTGCTCACATCACGGCCCTTACAGCCATCACAGTTTGTGCTAGGCCGTGTGATGCTGCAATGATGTGACCCTGTCCCCACCAAGGGCAGGGTGACACTTGGGCATCTGGAGCCTCATTTTGCCTAGGGACTGGCTCGTGGATTAACCCCGCCTTGGGGTGCTCTGCCTGCACCTGAAGTAATACTGCCAAAGGATGCTCTGGTCCCTCCTGTTTTTCATGTTGGTTTAAGCAGTGAGTGGGAATTGTTGCCCTTTTTCCTGCCCCATCTCTCAGGCCTGGAACATCCACACCAACACAATATGGACAGCAGTGAGGATAGCTTAGCTTTTTGGGGTAGAATATGCCCTCATGTCCGTTTTGTGCAATGCCGCTCGCACAGGGAGAGGAGACTGAGCGGAAGTTGGATGAGTCTAGCAAGGTATACAGTGAGCGTCACAGCTGAGAGCTAAGAGATCTGAGCTGGATATATTTTTAGGTGCACGAGGTGCAGAAGAATTTGAGCCAGGCAGGGTAGCATACAGAAGGGATAGCCCAGAGCTCATGGGCTGTGCTTGCAGCTGGATCGATCTCCCCCATCTCTTCCTGTCTTGTGCCTGACTGCGCTCCTGGACTCCCTTCCTTTCTATCCCTGCAGCTGACGGGGCTTATTCTTGTCACAATGGCATTCCTTGCCTGCCTCCTCATGCTCGTCATGTACAAGGCCTTGTGGTATGATCAGCTGAGCTGCCCTGAGGGCTTCGTGTTCAAGGTAAGGTGGGCGCGTGGTCCTGAGGGCTGGTGAACTCTTTCCAACAGCCCTGTTTGAACAATGCCATCCTGACCCCAGCCTGCCGGCTTAGAGGGATTCAGACTGCTCCCTTCAGGACTGGCACAGCTTCTGCACCGGCAGCCTCAAACCCAGTCCTTTCTCCTGAATGACATTTGTTGAGGCTGTGACATAAGTGTGACAGAGAGCTGGACCCAGCCTACTAGATCAAACTCCATGCCACGTTGCCTCTTCCTTGGGACATCTCTGCCCATGGAGAACCAGCTGGAGGCCCCATCAAACATCTCATCTGCAAAGGCCCCCTTGAGGAGGAGTGATGGGAGAATGGTGGGCCTTGCACTTTGTCTTGTAGGGCCTGTGGGCACCATGAACTGCCCCAACCCCACAGCTGAACTGGGGAGGGAGTGCTTGGCCTATCCAGGGTGGGCAGACACAGCCTGGAGGGGAGTGTGGCCCCTCAGCGGTCTTGGCTCACTCCTCTGGGGCCACAGGAGAGGGAAGAAGCCCCGGGGTCTCACCAAGGGTAGCCAGGTCTTACCTGACCTTGTTGAGCGTGCAGGGACGCAGACGTCCCTGCCGTTGGCATTGCTGCTGGCTTGGAGGTGGGAACCAGCCTGATTGCCGTGTTGTGGTGGTGGATGTGGTAGGTGAGGATGAGCGATGGATGCTCCCAGAGCCATCATGGGAGAACATGAAGGCTGAGCTGGGCCCCAGGACACCCACGAAATGCTCATGCCAGGGCTGCTTGTGTGCAAGGTGTCTGCAGGCAGTCAGGCTCTTTCCAGCTGCTGCCTCCTGCTTTCCTCTTCTCCTCCACAGCACAAGCGCTGCAACCCAGCAGTCCTAGAGATGTACTACTCGGAGCAGGAGACCGGACCTCAGGGAAGTCTCTACATGGCCATCAACCATTTCAGTCAAGGCAAGAAGAGCATCCCAGATCTGCCATCCCCATGGATGCCAGCAGTTAGTGCCCTGAAAGAGGCTGAGAATGGCAAAGAAGCGATAGGAAGCCATCAGGAATAGGGCAGGGCTCTAGCACACTCGCCAGCTCTTGCTCCACAGGGCGTAACCCAGTCAACACCAGTCCTGTTTCCAAAACCAAGCATGCAAAAGACAGCCCTGAGTGGGTGTGGGGCTGGGTTTGTTGTGTCCTGTGGGATCTCATTGTTTCCCCACTTGTCTCCCATCAGTCGGAACAGCGTTGTCCAAATGGTTATTGCTTACATTTTCCCTGTTTGTGTCTGTAGCTGCCAGAAGGCAGGATCACGCCACAGAAACCCTCTGCTGCTCATGGTTTTCAGCTTCTCCATGGACCATTTGAACAGACTGAATTGTAGCCCTCCCTTGCCGAGTGCCAGGGCTACCTGTGTCTGACAGCCACTTTCAGCTGTGAGCACCAGGAGGACCATTCATCAAAAGCATTGCTTCAGTTTTGCTTCTTCTCTTTTGGGCATCACAGCTGCTGGTTGTCCGAGACAAGGAGAGGGGAGATGCAAGCTCTGGGAAGGCCAGGGTTACAGCAGCCCTTTGCAGCTGAGCCTGTTGATGCTGCTGTATAGAGACAGCAGATGTTAACATGCCCTGCATTTTACTTTGAGCCCTTTGCTGATCTCATTTGAGAAAGCCGTTGTGAACTGCAAGGCTAAAACTGACTCCATTTACTTCCAGTGCTTCTGGATAGGGTCTTGTCTTGTTTTATTCAGCGCCTTAAAGTGCGTATCCTGTGGCTGGCATGACCTTGTGTTTGCCCCTCTGCATTTCGGCTGCTGCAGTAATGCAATGGTGCTTCTCCCACACCGTGTATTTCTCTAAAAATTGTGATCCTTGCCTCAAGGTGAGCTCTAGCAGGTTTTTTGAAGAGCCGAAAGGAATGTGATGATGGGCTGCTTTTCTGTAAGCAACAATAAATGTGTGTTCTTGTCCCAACACATTTGTCTTTCTGCCAGGTGTATCCCCCTGACCTGTATTCCCGTTAGCACCACTGACTCCTTCCAGCAGAGCATGTCTGCTCGCTGATCTCAGCCTCTGGGGGGAGCGCAATGCAGCTGCTGATCCTGTCCACCTTCAGGACCAGGTTCTTGCTCAAGACCTTGCTATGCCTGCTGTGGTCCCACAACCCTGTGTCCCTTGGTGAGTCACTGCAGCCTGGATGCAAGCAGATGTGCTCAGTTCCTGGCATCACAGTGGTTGTATGCTTCAAGGCCTTTTTTGCGGGGGGATCATGCCCGTATGGCAGGTGAGGAAGCAGAGTGACAGGAGCTGACACGACCTCCTGGGAAAAGTCCCAATGCCCTCTGTGAAATCTCATTATCCCCTTGCATCTGCGTGCTGGTACTTGGAGTGCTTTTCTGCCTTGCTCAAAGACAACACCTATGTTGCTGCATATGCACAGATTTGGGTTCCTTTTTCCGGGTGTTGGCATGTTCACTGCTCCTGGGAAGGGGCCCCCAAAAAACTATCTCAGAGCTGGATCTGTAGGCTCCAGGATGGCCTCTCATTGTGGCTTTGGGGCAGGAGGGGGGCAAAGGGACTGTATCATCACACCGGCATAGCACAGAGCACTGTGCTCGTGCATTGCGGCTGAGGGCAGTGTCCTGTAGTCCTTGGCACAAAGCTGAATGCCAGCTCAGCTTTCCCAGAGCCACCCAGCCCCACATATGGAGGAATTGCTCAGGGAAACCCCAAGGCACCATGGAACCAAAGTTACTAAATATTCAGAAATGGCTGGAGATGTTTCAAAGGCTCGGTGTTTTTTCCCCCATCAGCATCCTGGCCCAGGCTGCTGAAGTTTTCTCAGTCCTTGGGAGCTGTTTCCCTGCACACCAGCTAGCATATGAGCATCTCTTTCTGAATGGTGAGGCCCCATGCAACACTCCTCCACTCTTGCATATTACAGAGCCCTACTGTGGCCTGTATGGATTTATTAACATCAAAAAGCAATCTTTTACTTTATCCCCAAGCTCTTCTAAAGATACCCACAGGCTGCTGGCAGCACCTGTACCAACACTGCCTTTCAGCTGGCAGGCGGAAAGTCTTCTGGAAAGCAAAAGGTTTCTGTGGCTCATAGCAATGGAACTGCAGTTCTCTTGTCTGCCTCAGAGGAGGGGTTAACAGTCCCTCTTGTTATTGATGTTCCTGGCTTTTGTTAATACCAAAAAAAAAAAAAGGTGAAAGAGCTCTGTGGAGCTGATGTTCGCAGAGAGTAATGCAAACTGAGGATTTCAGACAAACGCTGCCGAGAAAACTCAGGGCCGAGTTTTGGCGCAGCAATGGGGGAGTGACAGACCCAAGCTCTCTTCAAGCTCCTCCATGCATGGGTAGAGAAAAACAGCCTGCAGGTTGTTTGTGAAATTGTCTGAGTGGAGGGGAGGATGCAAACAGGAGTGTCTGTATTGGCTACCAAAGGTACCCTGTACTTGATCACTCTGCAATTTCCCACCAGCGTAGCAGGGCTAATGTCTTGCCATCCCAGGACACAGAAACTGGTGGCCCTGTACCAGAGACTGTGGCTGCTGAGCAATAGGCCACTGGACACGCAGATGGCACATGGCTCTATTTCAAGTCCTCCTTTGCCTGCCTGCAGCGATCCCAGGGCAGCTGAAAGCCTGGGCTCTTGGTGTGGGAAAGGGCCTCCAGTCCATCCTGCCCCACTAAAACCTGCAACTTTTAGTGGCTGTGTCAACCCACATCTCCGTCCTCTGCGAGGTGGCAGGCCAGGCCAGCCGTGATATAACTGCAACATCTGGAGCCCATCATACTTATGTTGTAAATTTTATTAATCTCTCTAAGAGATGCAAAACTCACAGGCCAACATAAATCTCCTGCTTCCTCTTGGCTCACCGGGGAGCAGTGCTGGCCTGCCACCAAGCGGCATGTATTTTGGGTCCTGTGCCATCGCTTGGCTGAAGAGGGATTAGAAATTCAGGACACCCCGTGGCTGGAGCAGCCTGAAACCCAATCTCTGCAGCACCTTTTGGGACTGACTTTGTACCTGTGACTTCAAACGTCACCAAATCCAGCAGAGGCCTATATTTCATTTCTGGCTCCAATACAGCTGCAATTGCAGGGCAACAGCTTTGCTCAGGTGACTGTCAAGACTTTAGAGTGCTTCATGCAAAGGACTGCCCCGAGGTGCGTGGGGTGTGTGGAGGCTGGGCAGAGTGCTCCTTGTGGCTTCAGACATGGGCACCAGGCTGTGCTGTAGCACAGCAGGGCCATGCCTCTCTGGGTGCTGTGTGGTTGACCCAGAGCCTTGTCACAACTTTTTTGCCTGTGTATTTTTGCCATTTTTTTATCTAATGGCTTTGTTTATCATCTGCAAGTTGTACCTGATTCCCAGTCACTCATCCTTCCCAATCACGAGTGCTGGTCCAAAACACCTGTGAGAGCTGTGGTCTTCACCAGGGTATCCTTTGACCTGTCGTTTCTCTTGCCCTGTCCCCAACTCAGTTCTTGAGGCATGATGCCCCTCTGCATCACACCCAAAAAACCTGCAGGCCTCTAGCAGCCTCCTGGGAGGAGTTCCTCCTCTTTTCAAGACACTTAGCACAAGGGTGCCCAACCTTGCGGGAGCTGTGCTCACCACATCTGCTGACACCATGTTCTTGCAAACTTTGCTGTAAGTTGGCTAGACCCACCCTACACTGCAGTCATGGGGCAGATAACAAATCTCTCCTTTCTCAATCCTTTCCAGCTATTTCACAGAAATACCAGCTCTCCCAGCTGCATGGGTGCGCCAAGGGCCATCCTCTGCAGGATCCTTGCCATCCTCTGCTGGACGCTCATGGAGTCAGAGGTGGGGATGAGTGAGCGACCCAGTGTGGCCGTGATGAGCCCATGAGCCACCCTGCGACGAGCGGAAAGCGGGGCAGCACACCCGGCCATGGGAATCCCCTGCCCACGTGCTCTTGTTGCAGCTCCGTCCAGGCCAGCAGAGTCAACTCAAACCAGATGCTGGCATTTATCACATAAAAGCTGATGGTTTTGGGGTGGTGGCTGTGAGCCTGGGTATGCAAGTCACAGCTGCTTGGTTATGAGGACAACCCCAAAACAAAGACAGCCCTGATGTGCTGGCGGGATGGAAACTGCTTCTCAGTGCTGAAAGCACCTAGGGAGCCTAGCTAAAATGTTTGGAGACTGGGTGCTTCCCCTCCTTATTAATACCCCATTTTATTGGCTTCAGGAGTGATTGGTTCATGTATCAGAGGTGGTAGCTATGGTTGTTGTGGCTTTTATTACTATGATGCTGTCCTGAGAATGAATGTCCTTTGAAGGACACCACATAAACACTCGTGAGTTGTTCATAGAGTTTTTCAGAATTCCTTGTAGACGTGGTTCACCTCAGGGGTCTCAGTGCCCCGGGAATTATGGAAATTTGGGAAACCCAAAATTCAAGGGATGTCCAACCCAGGTTTCCCCTTTTCAGCAAATGCAAGATAGAATATATTCACTGGGGCTTCAGATGAAAGCTGTGGATGACTGTGGGAGAGACAATGAACTCTGAATTGGACTGTTTTGTAATTTACAATAAAATTAAGGAGAATCAGGAAACATGCCATCACTGCAAATAGAAAAAAACACAATGGTTCTTTTTTTTTAAAAAAAGGAGTTTTTCAAAAAATGCCTTTTTCTTCCCCTCCTTCTTTTCCCTTTACTCCACATAATGAGCTCCTCTGGTCCTTTACGCAATCCAAATTCAGTCTGGGGCTCAGACTGCATTCAAGGCGGAAGCGAAGTCTGATATGGGGTGTGGATCCTGAAACTGACCCCTCCAGTGTCCTGAGGGGACAGCCAGTTCTAAGGAAGGTGAGATCTTAGAGCAGAATAACTGCTTCCAAGCAAACAGAATTTCAAGGTAAGCTGTAAAAGAAAGTTTCTAGAAAGGTAAAGCTCAGAGATGGTCAGGAAATGACATTTTTTTGTCCAAGGAAATGTTGACTTTTCATCAACTGCAATGTTCTGGTCAAAATCAAAGTGTTTCAACCCAGAACTGTCGGGCTGGTGTATTGGAGAAGGCAGTTTCAAAGGCTGGTAAAGACACTGAAGGTCTTGCATAGTGTCTGGGGCTGGGCATCATGGAGGAAAG